CCTTCGCCCCGTAGACCGAATGACTCAGCAAACGTGACTGACGATCGCGAAAATACCGAAATGTTTCTTGCGACTCTTTGATGTCCGAGACCGTGCCCGGTTCATTCGATTCAGGAACCCACTTCAAATAATTAAAGCAGTGTATCAAAAGACGACCGAAAGCATCCACCAATTTGTGCCGATCTCGCACGGTCCGACGAAAACGGTGAATTCGACTACGATTCCACACACTCCAGGAAACCCGAAGGACTTTTACGTTCCGCTAAAACGAAGCGGCGACCGTCTACCTTAATTAGCCGACAGCAAAGCACCAGAATTTCCGTGTGGCAAGTTTGTACGGCGGTAAACTGACTCGATACATTCTGCTCGGATTGCACGATCGTATCAGCAGGATATAGCGGCAGTGTTCCACTGAATTTGGACAATGCCAGCTGTAAATGTAATCAATGGTCGCAATGGGGGCACCGTCGCGACCAACGTTTACCAGAATTCCATTGGGCCGTGGTTCCGGGCACCGACCGTGTCTCAGGTCAGGAATTCCCGCCGTGGAACGATTACACCTTTATGGGGGAGCGCTAAATAACGTTAACAAGCGGATCCTGAAAACTCGGAGGAGCCTTCGCAGCGCCTCCGATGTTTCAGAAAGAAGTTTCCGTTCTCCGCGCGAAGGGAGAAGTTCGCCGGAACGATAATGGGAGACCGTTGCGAGGCGATCCGCGAATTCCCGCCGATTGCCGTGAGCCATACCTTTTTTCCTCGTCGCTGGAATTGCAAATGGCCGCCGTTGAACCGAATTGTAAAAATATTGCGCGAGCTGGAAACCGAGAATGGTCCTTATCAGAACTTACCAAGCTCGGCGAATTCCGTCGGCGATGCTATTTAATTTGTCGCTCGTTTTCATTGTTTGTTCGGTCGTGCCATAGTTCGTGCTGCAAATGTATTTATGCTCTTCGTAGTATATTCTATGAACACGTAACATACAGTACGAGCACAGCAACAGTGGCTACAAACGATTAGATAAGAACTTCGTTCAGTTGGATAGATTAAGAGATAACAATGGAACGTCCAAGACTCGTGAATCGGAACAATGCGATTTTGTCGTCGCGATAATGCGAGACCACGTGTGTCATAAAACGTTTAGAAACAGATACAGCTATTCGGATAACGAATTTTATCAAACACATTCTCCAGATATTGTTCCGCCGGATCGCCACCTGTTTCGGACAATGCAACATGTTTTAGTCGGGAACAAATTTTTTTTAATATTAATAATAATATTACTTGTTATAGTTTCAAGATTTTATAGCTTTTTCGCAACCAATTGTTATACCCCCAATTTTATAGACTTTTTAATAAGCAACCATTCTTTCTATTTGAGACTTATTTTGCAAGGCTTATTTTGTTCTGGCTTATAATGGAATCTGGATTTTAATGAAATTGACGTTTGTTTAATAAGAAATGTACTGCAACGACCATGAGAGTCAGCTGTTTTAGATGACACGTGAAACACTGACGATATGAATCAGATACCGAAAACATTAAGGAATCTCTGTTCATTTTTTCATTACTATCGAAACCTCTTTAAGTTAATTCCTGTTAATTTTATAAACACTTATAATTCACAGTAACTTCGTATTAAATTTGTTAATTCTTGTTAATCAAATTTCATTTAATAAAATTATTAATTTCTTTCAATACAATTGATATTCCGTTCAACGTTTCGTTCAATTTCATTTCCTGCGAATAAATACCGAAATAACGAATTGTGCATTTTTGTCCAGAACTTTGTCATTTGCCCGTGCCGCGCGACGTAATAATAGAACGTTCCACGTCGAGACATTCGCAGAAATGAAAAAAACTTGTCCATTTTCGCGGGACGCATTCCTCCGCCGGCGTCGCTCCCTTTGAAAATAATCCGATACCCTTCTTTGAGACCGGCGAACGAATGCGAGCCGTGTTCAGCTCCAGGAATGTTTCATATTTATGCGTTCTCAAAGGGCCGGCCCTCTTTGCCGCGACGATACTTTCTCCGCCCCGGGAAAGAGGAAACACCAGGCATTATATTTTTTCGCGGATCCTACGCTCATTTAAATAATGTCTCCGGGAGACACCGAGACAACGGGCGGCGCATTCTTTCCCCAAGATTTACGCCCCTGCCTTTCCTAACGAGTCCTCTGGATCTACGTAGATTACGTCGGCGCATCGGGGATCACGAGTCTGAATCCCCGACTATCGGCTTGATAAACAGGCAACTCACCGAATGAACCAGTCCACAATTACTTGATTGGCCCCGCGTCTCGCGTGCATCCAATTCCGCGGCCAACGAGCAACAACGACCCGCCCGCCGATAAAATGTTCAATTCTACTTCAGCATCGACACGATCTCCTTCTTCCGACGAGCAGCCTCGTGAATATTCAGATCTTCTCTAAAACAAAATCCCAAATGAAATAAGTTCCGTTTTTCCCCCCCGGTTACGCGCGCGCGCGTGTTTTTCTTCGTTTTCCACCGCGGAGAAGCTCGTATTAGTGTGTCGAGGAATCAAATGTATGCACACCTTTCCGGTGAACTTTTTTAAGTGCACTTCTCGGCGGGGAGAATACGCTGCATAAAACAGCAACTCGAACGGATACAGCTTCGTTTCCTCGACTTCCATTTCCGTGGAAGATCTCCTGCGGTTTGCCCAGCAGTCGGTTTGCAGCAGTTGAACAGTTTCGTCCGGACGTAGCCTGTAAAAATATTTATTTATTAGCGTGAGTTCTACTTTATGGAAGAACGTTTCTTGTAATCATCCGAGTTGCGCCACACGCTGGTTATACCACGATTTTAGGAACAATATATTACAATATATTTTATGAAAGTATTACATTGAAAGAAAATATGAAGAGAATCAAACGAATGCGGTATAATCGCAGTAATTTGCACGCTTTGCAAAGAGATTACTTTAGAGTTCTACTTTATGGAAGAACGTTTCTCGTAATCGTCCGAGTTGTGCCACACTGGTTATACCACGATTTTAGGAACACTATATGAGCCGTTTATTTTGAAAATGGCATAAGTCACTTTACCCTAATGAAAAGTGGTGATTTATACGAAATTATTTATACTGAGAAAAATATATATTAGTATCCTGAGATAACAAATACAAGTAAATCTTCTCGAAAGTTAGCATCCATATTTTTAAACGTGTTAAAACGCAAACCCTTAAATATATCGACTTAAAGACAAAGTGACTTATGCCACTTTCAAAATAAACGGCTCATATTACAATATATTTTATGAAAGTATTACATTGAAAGAAAATATGAAGAGAATCAAACGTATGCGGTATAATCGCAGTAATTTGCACGCTTCGCAAAGAGATCGCAACAGCTGATCGGTTAATAATTACATCGGCATTCGTGCTCGAAGGATAAAATGTGAAATATCCTCATAAACAATGAACACCGGCAAAAACGGCGAAATATGGGTCGACTTATTTCCGCGCCCGGTTCATCAGAAATAATGTCATCGAAACCTGTGTCGCAACGATCGCGAGCTCTCCGCGTTCGAGATCGCGTCTCCCAAGAATAAAATATAAAGCATCAAGAAGCGAAGGTCGCGCGCGCTGCAAAATTATTTTTGCATCATTCCGGGACATTGTTCCGACCCAGTAATTAACATTCGCCCTATCGAGCGTCGGCTCGGAGAACCTCGTTAGCCTCGGCATTCGTCGGCAAAGTGCTAATATTTTATCAGATGCTCTCTGGTGCGAGAAGCCGTCGTTCGGAAGGTGGAGAACGGTGTCGGAGAATGCAGTTCGGCTGCAGCTAGGACGCGCGCCGAAAGGGAGCCGTTCGGCCGGCTCGGCACGGCTGTCGGCAAGGTCGGGTTCGGCGCGGCTCTCGGAATCCGCAAATTGAAGCTCGAGATTTATGATGTAATCACGGTGTAATTCGCGGCGAAACGAAGCAGTATCCGGGCAAATTGCTCGGATCGGAAGTTAGCGTGTCTGTCAGGGCGGCGCGGCACGTGCGCCCGGTTAGCCGCAAGTGCCGGCTATAATTATTTCATTTGCGAGTCGCGAGGCGCCTCGCGACCGCGTCCTGGTTTCGAATCCGTACGGAGGCTCTGGGGTATTGTTAATTGTGCCCGGGTAATTTTCAGGCGGAACACGAATCGCACGGATTATGCATCGGGCCATTCCGGGGGGCCTGGCGAAGTGCGCGGGATTATCGAACGCCGGCCGGTTCGGCTCGCTCTCGAAATCACGGCCGGAGACCGATTCCTCGAGGCCGATGGCGAATTAATAAACAATAAATAATACAACGCCCGGACCGGCCCGAATAATGGCAATTAAATCCGGGAGCAACAATTCCGGTACACGCTCGTTCTCCGCCGGGTTTACGCATGGATAATTGCAGCCACGGAACGGATTAAAAAGCTCACGGAAACAAACGGCCGGAGGGGACAAGGGAGCGAGCGGGCTAGCGGGCTTTGTTCGCGGCCGAGGGCGGAAACTCGTGTTGCGGATGGAACATCAATTCTTCGAAATATTTTAATTCGCCGGCGCTAGTTACGTGCTGCGTTTCCGCTGCGTTTTACTTTAAACCGGACGCCTCGAGTAAATCGTTAGAATTCGAATGATCTTAAAATATCACGCTAATTTCATAGTTTCTAGATATTCTTGTAATAATAAATGAAATTTCGAACGCAATTTTACATATGTCAAATGCCGAATAAAAAGTGTATGAAACAATATATCAATCTAATTCCATGTTGCCGTCTTTGTAACAAAAAGAAATCGTAGATTGAAGAATCTTAAATTACTCGAGTATGTTAACTATGTATTTTACGGTTTGTATTGCTCATTAGTGATCGTTAGTAATATTTTCTGTGGCCCGAAACAACGCGGCTTCTTCCGATACGGTCAAGGGAGGCCAAAAAGTCGGACACCTCTGATTTAAAGCGTAAAGTTATTCGACCACGAAGCTATGCGTCTGGTGAACGATCGAATTTTCAGGTCCGGTAAATAGATGCGGAACATGCGGGCCCGGTGAACTTGAGGAAAGATGGTGGACAAAGGGGAACTGGAGAAGCCACCGTCGCCGGTGAACATCAACGAGGCGATCGAAGCGAAGGTGTTGACTCGGAAGACTGCCAGAAGTGAGTAACAGCCGAAGACAATACCCTCACGGGCATTATGTTCCTCCTTTTGCAAGCCGATCGGGAGCGATCCCAAACAAGCGAGCGAACAGTCGAGAGGTTTTTACAGCTTTTCCAACTTTTTCAACTTCCGCCGCATCGATCCGGAACGTTCATTCTAGTCGAACGTTCGCTTCGGTGAAGTCGACGGGCAGCGCGAAGAGTTCGACGAGCGGGGATTCTGTACGCGCTAGAAGAGAATCTCCGTCCATTACGTGGGCGCATGGGAAAATAGAGAAATCTCGGCAGCGCAGGCAGATTTCCCGATGGAACGGGTCTTTGGAAAAATACCGGGCCGGGAAGCTCCGAACTTCGTTCTGTTTCGATGATTTTCCGTTCGGCGGTGCGCCCAATGCAAACATCGTTTTTATCGGGACACGGGAAATATAAAGACGCGAAATACCGTTTACAATTGCTACGAAGATACGCTCTGAAGGAAAATATTGGTACAGTAGAACCTTACGTTATCCGGTCTGAGCGGCGCGACATAAATGTTCAGAAGAGTTAGTTAAAGTGGCACATGTCGTTTTTATCGATTTTGTACAGAAATTCCTGCTATTAGGTCATTCGGTATGAAATGCAGAGATTTTATGGGAAAATTGTAAAGTATGCATTGCATGCTCAATGGCCTAATACGTGTAAATTGATTTAAATTGATCTCGTAGCATGGGAAATATATTTGGAAAATAAATAATTCTGGTATTCGAGCACCAAATAATCAAGATTCTACTGTACTTTCAAATTATTTAATGCTTCTACTGTTTCACATTTTAATTACATGCATTTTTTTACTACAGATGCTCATATGTTTTATTATAAATCCTCATATTTATTGTAAATCAACCCTTTGCACTCGGAGAGTTTTAGAAGATTTCTAATCCTCCACGATCTTCATTCTCTTTTTGCATATAGATTTTAAAGCATACTCGTGAATTCTTAACAATTTAATAAATAAAAGCAATAACATAAAATTGTCCAAGATTTTACAATACGGTACATTTTATTGGCGCATCAGAGTCACCGTTCGAGTGCAAAGGGTTAACCCCTTGCCGTACCTCGACGAGTCTGCCTCGCGATGAAGATTTCAAGCGATAACGTGTCACGTGCGATTACTATTCCGTTGTTTTGTACGAAATTCTGTTCTCAATGATCAATGTTTAATCGATCATGTAAATTCAGGCACAGTATAAATATGAATTATTTGTTTTGTTCCCATGAAATTACTACGATCGCAAATTGTGAAAATAATGGTACGACAAGGGGTTAATCCAGTCGATTAAATCGCGAGATGGAATAGGATATCGCTGGACTATCGGTTTCCATTCAATGCTTTCTTCTTTGACAGTACTTAAAAATGGGCTGCTGCTGTACGAGGCTGTGATCAAGAACGAGGCGGATACGGTTCGCAAGGTGCTGAAAGAGACGGTGGACGTCGACTCGAGGAACAACGTAAGTTGCAAAAAAACTGCCCGAAACTACAGCGACAGCTTCGATGAACTTTCGCAACTTTACCCTTGCACGGTGTGCCGTCAGACAATCGATTGCACGGCGGACTCAGGGTCCGATCGAACCCATACAACGAACTCATTGTGACGATTTTCGGTAATACTTCGGAGACTGTTAGTTCTCCTCACCGGCGAGCACATTTTTTTATGAACTAAGACAACTATAAACTTATTTGTATTTTGTTGTACGTTCAGTTTCGTTCTCGTTTCTCATCGATTTGCCGAGTTTCCTCTTGGCAACAACCACCGTTCTCTGGAAACCACAATATCGATGCGGAAGTCGACTTCTCTTGATTACGATTTCACAACGAAATTCGAATTCACAACGATTTCTAACGATGCTTTACACCCGCCGCATGCATGCGTCTTTCACTAATCGCTGAAACTAATTGTTTAAAAACCGAAAATTCGATTTTCTAAGTATTCTAATCTTAGAAGAATTATTTAGATAGATGAAATTCGTGATACAGCCAATTTTTAGCAAATTTTGTAAATGCAACCATCTCTAACGTGAACTTTTAAATGATAACAATAAGTAATTTGTAATAATTAATACATAACAATTAATACAGTAGTATTAAATTTCTTTCATGGAATATGACATTTATGAAAGTATTTCGAATATTAAATTTTTTATTGTGCACAATTATTGAGGCTCAGTATACAAAGAGAGAGCACAGTAATTGCGGCACAGAATTCAGCATAACATCGCAGTAACTAAAACACAATATTCTAGAAGGGAGCACAGTAACTGAAACACAATAACTGATTTTTGTAGACGATAGGCACACAGTAACTGGCCCTAACATTTTCTCTTCTTTCTCCTAATATCCAAAGGAGATTTGATGCTTGTGTCATGGGGAAAATTCCATGGACAAAAGAAACTTCAAAATTTCTCTTAAAGTCCATGAGAAATATCATCTAAAGTTGCGTTTAGTAGCGGTAAATTCATGAAGGCTGCTAACAGGGCCCAGTAATTGGCTCCTCTATCCTACCGAAAGAACAGTGATAAAGTTGCAAAGAACATGAACGAACGCGGCGTCGCGGCAGCTTGAAAAGACGCGTGTGTACGGCGAACCTTGGTTTACTGCTGTGCGGTTGAAACACGCGAGACGCCTGGCTACGTTCGGCTGTTCAACACGAGACCGCCCGGTGAGGATTAAAACTGCGGAAAACCGGTTCCGACTTGGGAATAGAATCTTTCACTTGACGCCACTTCGTTAACGCGCGTTACACGCTCCGGAGCGCGAGATAACGTTGCGGCGACGCGGTCGCGCGATGGAAATAGCGGGACGTTTCACTCGACGTCACGAAGGCTAAATCGTTCGGCATTGTGCTTTTAACAGGACCTTTGTCGGGCTGAAAGCGGAACGGGAAATGTACATTCAGCTGCGCGGAACTCCGCCGTAAACTCTCGAACGCGTATCTCCGGGCTGATAAAAGCGGGGGTATTCTACTTGGGAATTTCATCGGCGCTGATAAAACTCTACGTGGCTGCGCCAAAACGCGCGCCTTCGGGCTGCCGAACGTTCTGCCGCACGACGTTCTACGGTGTCCCAAAAATGTTCCTCAGGTCATTTGAAGCAATTTTTTCCTTTACAAAAATGTTCTCCCAGGCACCGTTAACGAGCTATTAACGAAAAACAGTGACCAATGAGAGGCGAGCTCGGCTGGCGCGAGGCGACCGAGCCAATGAGCGGAACTGGGCTTCGTGCGCTGGTTGGCTGGGCCGCCTCGCGTCGGCTGTACTCAATTCTGATTGGTCTCTGTTTTTTCGTTAATAACTCGTTAACGGTGCCTCGGAGAAAATTTTTGTAAAGGAAAAAGTTGCTTCAAATGATCCGAGGAACCCGCCATTTCCGGATTACGAGACATTTTTGGGACACCCTGTATTCGCGGCGTTACACGAGTCGGTGCGTCGCGGCGCTTCATCGTCCTGAAACCACCGTCTGATCGTGCACGGAACGTTCTACTTGCGCCGGAGCTACGAACTCTTTTTGTAATCTACGTTCTACGCAATCCGCGGAGCCATTGTACGACGTACAATTCCGGCACGGGCTGTATCATTTGTCTGACGAAACACGGGATATTCCACTTACAGTCTCATTACGCCCGAGAAACTTTCAATGCCTTGTTTAACCTCATCCTTCGTCTGACTACGGCTAGAATATTCCACTTGCCGGCTCGCTGCGGCCGTTAACGGCCTTCTAATTTTTCCTCCGGAAGCTACTTTGTCCGACTAAACACGGGATGTTCCACTCGCGGCTGCTGAAAGTTTAACGTCTTTTAGAACGCGTTGCCTCCGGTAGGCGCAGTCCGGCCATAATTCTTCCTGTGTCCGGCCACAAACGGAATACGGTAGAGGAGTGTCAGTTACCCGCGCCGTAGCCAATTACTGTGCCAGATTATTTTCAAAACGTACATTTCTCCGAATAAGATATTAAATTTGTTTATGCTAATTCAATCACGGTGGAACCTTCCGTATACGAAATAATAAGGACACAAAATTCGGATAATAGGATAAACACTTTACTGAACTTCATTCCATCGGTCAGAAACTTCGATGTTTAACGGAAAAGGGATTTCGTTTCCTTGAACAGAAACATATCGTTAACAAAGAGAGACCTCGAAGAAACTTTGAAATTTACCTTGAAGTTCCGAAGAAATCTCAATTAAATTGCTGAAGTTGTTAATATTGAAAACTCTTGGAGCAGCAAGACACAGTAATTGGCTCCTCTGCCCTAATTCGCTCGGAACGTCGCGAATCTTCGTCCCGATTATGCTAACGAAGTCACTCGTTAATCAAGCACTCGGTAGATCACTGTAATGCGAAATATTGTTGCTCGTTGACCAAAGCACGGGAAACGAAAACGCGACGCTGGCCCTCGGGCACTCTGCATTTTAAACCCGCGAGTACCGCCCATAAATACGCTCGTCCCGACCCGACCCATTATTTTATGCCGGGCGATGTTCGCTGGTAACCGTGAATGATTGTTCAGTATGGCCGGGCGCCGATCCATTGGGCCGCGTCCTGGGGAAACACGGAGATCATCGAAATGTTGATACAGGCGAAATGCGACATCGAGGCCAGAGACAAGGTAATATTTCACTGATTTATTTTCAATAAAACCGCTCGCACGGAACTCCATTCGCCGGGCGCACAAAAGAGATAACTCATTGCCGGCGCATTACCGAACACGATACCCGACAAATGTTTCGACAATTCCCGTTTTACGGGAACAAAGACCCTGTCCCGTTGTTTTGCGACAGCTACCTGACTGGAATTCTTCGTGCGACAACACGTTCCGTTTTATCAAACTACGATCCGGGACGTATAAGACAGTTTTGTCTATCGCTGAATTCAATTGTTCCGAACCCCTTGGCACGGCGAACTAGATGTTTTATGTGTTCGTTTGTTATCATTCCTCGACTTGTGACTACTGGACTGCGGATTTTATGTGTAATGGATCTATATGGATATATATCCATATAGATGCATATATATTACGTAGATACATAATTATTAATAATACATATTATTGTTTACCATAAATACATGATTGTTATGAATAATTATGTATTTATGATAAAATTGGATAGGTGAAATTTTTATGCAACGAAAATATTAAAGCAATTTAAGGGCATTTATGTGTTATTTTCAGCTCGCTGAAATTAGTAAAGAAAGAAATTTCTAAACAATTGTTCGATGCAACTGACAAAGATAATTATTATTTTGCATAAAGATCCGCAGTTTATTCGTAACAGAAGATTCAATTTCTTTAGACGTTTCGATTTAGACGAAATGATTCATATTTAATAGATCGTGTATGAGAAATCTTTTGAATATAAGTCCAAGAACGTAGTCAAAAGTAGAATAAGCAGTGAATTGGTCAGACTGAAAGGTGCCTCTATAACCCTGCTACGAAGTTCATAAAAATAGACCTCACTAAAAAGCTAGCTCATATCTTTGGAACCTGCATCATAATACAACACTATTAAACTTCTTATATGCAAGGATATATCAATTAATATCTACATAATAAACTTCGAACTATCACGTTAAAAAGCGAAGCACGGTCGATCGAATTAAAGTTTGAAACGACGCCGGATCGACGGTAACTACGAATCTTTAGTGCAACTGCTTCCGAGAAGTAACTTCGGTCCCGTAAGACCGGGCTCCCGAAGAATGCTAATATCGAGATCTCGCAGACAGTGTGCACGAATTAAGCGGATCGTAATTAAATTCTGTCCGTAATATTTGAAGTCTGGTATGCGGCCGTTGCACATGGCGGCCAAGTACGGGCACCGAGACGCCGTGAAGATGTTAATCAACGCCGGAGCGAATGTGTCTGCTGTCAACAAGGTATTCCCCTTAATTGCGTCACCAAATATTCATCACTTTATACCTATTCTCAACATGTCGCACCGAGGAGAAACGGAGATCGCTGATCGAGCCTCGCCGCGTTGCGGGAGAATCTCGAGGACCTTGGCGGTAAGGAGGAATCGAAGTCTATCGCAGAACAAACGCGGGGGGAGGGGGAATCATAGACCCGAGTCACGAGCTTTACTTGGGATCCTCTGACGTGATAAAGGCGAGCTGGGAACGTGCCCTCATCTCGGGAGCACATTTCTTTCGCCGGAATCGCGGCTCGGCGAAATTTCCCAGAGAGCACGGTCTCTCGAGAACGACCGCGTTCAAAAATTTCGCTAACGGCGCGGGAACTTCTGCAATTAACAGTTTGGCTGCCGCGGAAACGGTTCTCGCAATAATCGAAAATTTCACGAAATTGATGGCATTTTACTTAACCCTTGGACATCGGCACGTTTGCACAATTATTCGCTGAGATTTGGAAATGAATTTTTACTTCAATCGGTCGCATCTTTCCGATCGTATTAAGATCCGCAAAACGTGAGAATGTTTAAGAAGTAATTGCAAAGCAAATGAAATAATTTAACTCTTCAATTTTGAAGTTTAAGAATTGAAAATTGACAAATTACTTATTCAACGTTCTTACATTTTATCGGAATGATCGAGGAAATGTTTTAACACCACCATAAGTTACAATGAAAATGAGAAATGGTCGAAATAAATACAATCGACGACAAATTTGATCAAAATTAAATTGAGAAATTAAGATGTATGATATCGATTACTTTTTCAACATTCTTACATTTTGTCGAAATGATCGAGGAAATGTTTTAACACCACCATAAATTACAATGAAAATGAGAAATGGTCGAAATAAATGCAATCGCCGACAAATTTGATCAAAATTAAATTGAGAAATTAAGATGTATGATATCGATTACTTTATCAACATTCTTACATTTTGTCGAAATGATCGAGGAAATGTTTTAACACCACCATAAATTACAATGAAAATGAGAAATGGTCGAAATAAATACAATCGCCGACGAATTTGATCAAAATTAAATTGAAAAATTAAGATGTATGATATCAATTCCTTTATCAACATTCTTATATTTTGTCGAAATGATCGAGGAAATGTTTTAACACCACCATAAATTACAATGAAAATGAGAAATGGTCGAAATAAATACAATCGCCGACAAATGTGATCAAAATTAAATTGAGAAATTAAGATGTATGATATCAGTTACTTTTTCAACATTTCCACGTTTTACCTAATAAAATTAGAAAGATGTAATGGATCATTGTAAAAATTAATTTTCAAATCTGAGTGAAGAAAGTGCCAGAGATTGATGAAAAGACCAGCGATCCCCGTTGATCCCGAGACGATCTTCTTCAAGATCTAGGATTCGTAACGCAAGTGTGTTTGCCGTAGGAACAATACACGCTTTTAATGTACGCCGCCCAGGGCACCAACATGGACGTCGTGGAATATCTCGCGGAGACTGTGGAGTCTTTGAACGGGGATGCAACCGATTGTACTGGCTCGACTGCACTTCACCATGCAGCCAGCGCCGGTCATCCGACTGTGATCACAGCGCTCTCGAAAATATCCAGTATCGAGTTGAACGCCACCGACAAGGTAAAGGGACGTCCATGAAAGTCCGCCTCAAACCGTTTCATTTCATATTGCATGTGCATTGGTCGTACTGCAGTTTCCCCATTCATGAATTCGTATTTATGCTAAGTAGAAACAGCACGCAATGAACAGACGCCACAGTGGTAGATCCCGCCACAATTCCGACCGAAAGTCATATTTTGCGATCTAAGATAGATCGTTTTAAAGGATTACAAGTAGCATGACTCTGAAATGATAATGATCTAATCTATTTTAGCGTTAGATGTTGAGCGGTAAAATGCAATTACTGTAGATAATATGATAATGATAACTTGAATATTTTAGACAGGTATCAATCTAAATGAGTGATAGCAAATTCCACACGTCTAATTGGAATATATATAATTATAAAAAATATAAGGCTTCGTTCATAAAAATTGGATGGGGTAATCATCCAAAATTAACACTTTTTATAATATGAATAGTTCATTCAAAAGCTTATATTAGGACAATAATTTATACCGGAGAATAATCTAGAAATAATTCAGAATTAATACAAATAAATCTAAAATTAATCAAAAATGTCATCGATAATTAATATTAATTGTTGCAGATAATTTACTTATTGAATTTGTAATATTTCAACTTGGATACAAATTACCTAATTCCTAAAATGTTGAATTTTTAAATAACTCGTTAAAAACTCGTAATAAATAAATGTCAAACTCCTTCAAAATCGGAACAAAGATCTCATTGTTACTTTTACGAACAAATATAAAACAGCAGCTTTTATTACTTCCTAAATAAACTGCAATCTCGCGACGGGACCTACGATCGAGTACGATTTCTCGCGCAGCGGAGCTCCGATATAATCGTCTGGGAACTAATTTTCCCCCGCTGAATATACCCGGGCAACGAAAACAAATTGCGAGAGAAAAATGCCGACTATTTGTACCAGCGGAGAGCATTTTCTACGCGCGCGCCTAAGCTCGCTTACGCCGTCGAGGGATGGCCGGCGATAATGTCGCAGAGACCGTTTCAAAGGATTTACAATTTCCGGGGGGGCGGGGGGGAAGGGCGTAGCCGCGCGACATAAATTCCGCCAAATTGCATGCACGTAGCACGCTGCCCGCTCTTTTTATTTTAACGCTCGCGTATTCCTTTCGCCCCGGGAAAGCCGGCTGCACTTTATTCATGAAGGAGCCGCTCCGTCGGGCTAAGCATTCATCTACAATCCCGGATCAACTTTCCCTGACGCAGCTACTGTCGGGACCACGACAACGCAGCCAGTGTACTCGCGGCACAGACAAACTCGACGGCTTAAGATGATACGGTTGATTCGGCCCTGCGAAACAGTGAAACTCGACGATCGAGCATTCGAAACGGGAGCTAGGACTCGACGATGACTGGTCCGGGGAATTCTCGCGTTCAAATGTTTTAGGTACTCGAGGCCAACGGACAGCAGTTCCTTGAGAAATTTTAAAGTTCTTAAACGGAGGTTCGGTCTTTAAAAAATCGGCTCGTCTTAATCACTTCGTGCTTCACTTTCGACGACGCTTCAAGATTGCGCAATCCGAAGGAAGTTTAGAAATTAACTAAAAGTTATCGAAGTTATAGGCCTTTAACTGGCAGGTGCCGCAGCATAGAGTCGTTTCATCGCGCGAAACTTTAAACGCGCTATTCTCGAAACGTTTTTCTATCTGGTGGGACAAACATCTGGAAAAATAATTGATCGATCTAAGTGAATTTCGTTTCGTGTTAAAGAATATTCTTTCGCGCAGGCAGCGAACCCTTGATATCCCAAGTTTTTCCAAATTTACTAATTTACAAGGAGGAGTTGTGACAAATTGATAAAAAATAGCGATGCTCGACTTTAAATGCCAGAAAATGTTTAAAAAGAAAGGATTATTTTATATACTTTCATGTCGGTTCACTGAAATAAAATATTTGCCGCGGGTAACAGATATGATGAATCGAATCGAATGAATTGAATAAATAACTCATAGATGTATCTTTACAATCTGAATAATCGTCAAATAAAAAATTAGTCTCCCGACATTTTAAAAAGAAAGGATTATTTTATATACTTTCACGTGGATTCACTGAAATAAAATATTTGCTGCGGGTAACAGATATGATGATTTGAATTGAATAAATAACTCATAGATATGTCTTTACAATCTGAATAATCGTCAAATAAAAAATTAGTCTCCCGACATTTTGAAGCGTTCCGTAAACCTGGTGTTAAGGACTTATCAAGCGTGAAATCAACTTGTAAAGAGAAGGTCGGCGACTTAAAACGTTAAATAGACGAGATGCTCTCTTTTCCTATCTATCCCTCCCCCCCCCCTCTCTCTCTCTCTCTCTCTCTCTCTCTCTCTCACTCTCTGCATCACTCTGGAAGACCTTTTTCTCGCGTACAACCGGAAAGTAATTTCGCACAGTTATTGAGGCAGGATAGCAGCCGCGGGCCCGGGTACATTAATCTGTTTCTAATTGCCGCGAACATGCAAATACAGCCGCGGCTCGGTGGATGTAAAGGGAAGAAACTTCAATTTATGCGGAAACTGGTCCAGGCTGCTTCCTCCCGATTCGGATACCGGTGAAACTAGGTCTCCGGCATTAGCTATATTGCCTTCTTATCGCGAAGACAAGTGAAATCCCCGAAGGAGAGAGCCGCGCGAATCCAACTGCAGCCCTCCCAGGGAATTTTATGGAACTGGCGCCGTTACGACGCTTCCGGCTCTCCAGCAGCAGTCACGGGATATTTGCGACTTATCGATACATCGTGATCTCCTTTATCCAGCGTGTGAAATCAGTTAGATTGTAATTATTCGTTCTCGGCGAACCGAATAAGTTTAACGGAATTAATTGTAAGGAAGAATCACCGTTTTTTGGAAAAACTTGCAATATTAACGGTTCACTGCCTGCGTAAAAGTACATATTTTTATTATAAGTATATATTATATATATTTATTATAAGCATATATTTTTAATTAAAAAAAATTCACCTGAATCGACGAATTATTTTTCGAGATATTTCTCCCAACACAGTTCGTGAAATTGTGAATCTTCCTGTAACAAAATCGTACTCGTTTTCATAACTATATTATGCATGTCACGCGAAATTTGACACGACGATTAATTTGTTGCACGCTCGAAAGTACCATTTGCTTTTGTCGGAACCTTTTCAATCCCTGCTTTTGATCCATGGCGGACAAGATTTTTTGACGAATGGATATTTCGGAGACCAGCTGACGGTTCTCTGACGATTCTCATCTAATGGTCTGCGAATTTGCCGATGATTTTCAGAAAGGACAGACGCCTCTGCACTATGCCTGTGCCAAGGGAAACCTGGCAGCCGTGGAGGTCCTGATAGGACTGAATGCGAACATGAACGCCCAGGATGTCGAAGGAAACACACCTCTCCACGTGGCTACCAGGACGAGACACACCGCCATCGCTCAATTACTGTTGAGGGCTGGAGCTGACACCGAGATCACGGATCAGGTAAGTCGACGCCTTTTCTCAACCCTTTGCAATAACGATCAGTTTTACAGCTACGTTGATTAGCACTTCTTCGTTGATAATCATTTCATTTACAGAGCGAAGTGTACTTTCATTTCTGAATTTTGATCGAGGACTCGAAATGAACTCGAGAACTTGAAAACTGTTTGTAAAAAAGAGCGATAACGACATTGTATTTATTATTACAGTTGAAACTACTATTAAATCGCGAAACAGAGAAGATATGTTCGTTGATCTTGCTGTTATCTATTCAAAAGGCTATAAAATTATGAGATTGGATCATTTTGATTTTAAATGTAAAGGATAAAATTGATTTACATAAAGAACGCTCTATGCAAATTTCGCGCTTGCGAAATAGAATAAATAAACTAAAAATAAATAAATAAAATAAAATAAAAAATAAATAAATTTACGTTCTTTCTAAATAAATATTACATCCACGAATGTAATCGTAAACGTCTTACGTTACAATCTGAAAACGTTATTCATGCACTCGCTTTCCATTCCTAGAGAATAATTATAAGATTTCGCTGGAACATCGGGGGCGGCTTTATGGAAATATCCGACAGTTTAATTGGCCGAAGTGAATAGCGGCCCGCCCTTTCCGATTCATTGTTTTTCAAACAGTTGAAGTCTTAGCAACAAAGTTAGCGGATTTCGAGGAAAGTTACTTTCGTCGGCCGTGCCAACGAATGAAAGTAGCTCGTGTCTAACCGGCGCACGTGCGCCTCACGAATATAATGGGCGACTCATTAGCGCACCTAATGAGACAGTTTGAATTGTATTTGCCAGATGGGTTTCACTCCGTTGCACGTCGCCGCCAGTCAGGGCTGCAAGGGAATATTAGACTCGATGATTCAACACGGCGCGGCTCTGAACAAACAGTGCAAGGTATGCGGCGGGCGCGGCGCTCGCGAACGCGAATTAAGTAGGATCGAATAACGAACCGTCTTTGTCGATTAAATTCTAGTACGGTAACACGCCGCTGCATCTCGCCTGCCAGAACAACGTCGAACAACAGGTCGAAACGGTGCAGATATTAATCGGCAAAGGCGTCGACCTGAACTGCTTGAACTTGGTGCGTGTTCAATGGCTAATTAAACCGGCGTGGACCGCCGATTAAAACGGTCCACTCGTAACGGAGCGAAATTAATAGATTCCAGTTAACTGTTCCAGAGACTACAATCGCCTATCCACATCGCTGCCGAGATGGGTCATAAGGAGATATGCGAGCTGTTGCTCGCGGCAGGTGCGAATATCGAGCAGAGAGAACAGGTGAATCGCACACCCTCTCCCGTCGCTTCAGAAAACTCACCGGTCCCTTTTCCAGCCTCGTTCCGAATCCCCTCCCTTTGCATTATAACTAGACTGGGGATCCTTATGCAAATTCTCATTTACATTCGCCATTTTACAAGAACTGGAATTAAAGAAAACTCGCATTTTTGAAAAATTGCACAAGCCATAAATTCACGAAAATCTGGAATCGTAACAATCGGGGAGAAAACGTTGCGTAAAAATTTGGCAGCAATTGGTAACTTGATCATTATTTTAGAAAACATTTCTGATTATTGTGAAACGTTTTTTTTTACTAAAATTCAATATGATCAATGATGATATTTATGTGTATAATCTTGACATAACCTAGACACACTGATCTTAATAAATAATTTTGTGAGAAATACTTCTTGGAAAAATATTCGTCGCGTGCCTTTTTATCGATCACCATCGATGTTAAAACGATGAGAGCAGCCACCTTAAAGTTGCAGATATAAAGTGTGTACATTTAAAGGATTTTATCACGCTTTCAACATGGACCAAGTCCGATAGAAAATGTATGAAATATTTTCCCGAAAAGTCTTCCACAAAAATGTCATAAAAATCGGTGTGCCGATTATTTCCTGCGAAAGTGTCTCTTGTAATTCCAACAATATTAAAATAAAAAAATGTGGAACCGATCGTTTTGTCCCGCACGGTAGCTTCAGTACGAACAATACTTCTACGATAATTACGTAAATTACGTTCGCGAATGAAAAGAAATCGTTTCTTTCTTTCAAAAAGCATCAATTTCTCACCGGCTGTCTCAATTTTCTCAAAAGACCCGACAAAATCTTCGATAGAATGTTCTCGGCCGCTGCACCTAAGGGCCACCCTGCCGCTATCAGGGTGGTCCATGGCCAAAGGATCGAAAGAAGCCGGGTCCTAATCAAACACAGGTGTCGAGGGACAGTGTCCCGACTCGATCAAACGCAGCCAAAGTAGGCGTCTCTTTGTCCCGGATATGTCGAACCACGGTTCGACACGATCCCGTCTAGCTAACACGTCCCGGCCAAAGGTTCCGCGCAAAGTTAGCCATTGTGGGCGTTGCTCTCCGGCTGCGTCGCCCCCTCCGAGATTCGTACGTCGCCCGTAAATAACATTAAACCGAAGTTATCCGGATGTTCGCAGAGCGGCAGGACGCCGCTGTACATCGCGGCGAGGGGTAGCTTCACGGCCATCGTCGACATGATTATCAAAACCGCCAGACTCGACTATCCCGCGCCGGTAGGTGGCCGAAACTGGCCGGTAATGGATCATTAAACTTGGAGCCAGACTCTCTGCTTCGGTGACGGTGACCGCAACCGATTATTCTCCATCGGACGGTGCACTTTACGAAGCAGAAAATAACCGTGTCGCGGATCGACGAGATCGGTTGCCATTTCAGGAAGCCTCCACATCCGAGAAAGAGATCCGCGATCTAACGCCGGCCAGGAGAAGATGGCGGGAGGGATCCAGAGGCGGCAGCATCTCCAGCAACAACTGCGGCTTCCCGGAGTCCGTTCTGTGGAAGCTGGCGTACAAACAGCTGGGCCCCGACGACTGGAAGAAGCTGGCGCTCCATTGGGCCTTCACGCAGGATCAGATCCTGGCGATCGAGCACCAGTACACTGGTAATCATGATTCTACCATTTCTGATCGGTAGACCGCGGATTTTATGCGTTTGTTGCAAATACCGATGAAAGAGAGACAACAGCGAAAATGTTAGAAACATTTCAGAGAGAATTGTTACGTTATTTTCTATCGATTGAAACTATTAAACGAAGAAATAGATTGTTACTCGATCCTTGTTTCGTACGATTAATCAACAAGATCTTCGTTTTGCATAGAGACCCGCAGTCTACTGGTCAATTTTGCCAGGAATCCTCCGACGTCCGCGACGTTTCTCTATGTAATCACGTGACATCCATCAGTAACGTCACTCGTGATCAGTTGAACAAAGTTAGACCGTATATACCGTAGACATGGCTTCGGATAATTTCCCTGAAGCATAGATAAACCATCTACGAGGTGTCACGTGTGGCAAAGATGCACGAGCTATACTGTACAAGTATTATCTATGCAGTTGCAAAAGGACACACCGAAATTTCAACACGTGAAACAATTTACTCTCGAATTTAATATGCTGTTAATTTTTGCAAGAAATGAGTAAACAGATATGTGCAATATAAATTCTTTTTAAACTATCCAAGATAACAGATGTATGTGTATCTGTATTATATATCCGCGACTAGTGGTATAAATTGTCTTCTATTTGTTGAGAGAATATCATATATTTCTTATATATAAAAATAACCTTACTTCCAATTTTATTTTATGGTGAAAGGAAGAAAGTAGGGCAGCGCAGTCGACGCGACCAACTCGCAAACGCGAGAGGATCCCTGGCAACCCAGTTTCCGATCAGGAATCTCGTCGAGGTCAAAGGACACTCGAATATCCCACGTTATCGAGGTGCAAGGTTCGTAAAAATTACTGTGTAAATCGGTGCGCAAATTGGTGTTGTAAAGTCGCTGATGTAAAAAGGAAGCGGAGATATTCAAAGGCACTTTGCACCTCGATGATCCATCCTTAAACCGAGGACAGCCTCGTGAAAAGGACGATAAAGCTCCTCTTATAGGTCCCTCGAGCTACAAGGAGCACGGCTTCCGGATGCTGATGATCTGGGCGTCGGGATTGAGTCCTGAAATCCCCATAGGCAAGGAGCTGTGCGACGCTTTGATCGCGGTAGACAAGAAGGCTGCCGCTGGTATGTAATTTTGTCAGAAAAATATTACATCGCTAGACTGCGGACTCCGATCGTTCGCGACCCCGATATCCGACTTACTATGGGATCTCTGTGACATTTTTTTGAAAAGATCGCGTGTCTCTAATTGGTAAATTTTCGCGCATAATAATATCCTAAGTCATGTCTCGTACGTTTTTTTTGTTCACAATAGTTTTTGTTCTCTCCTATTGTGCGATTGTTTACTTCCTTCTTCCGTTTGAGAGCGATTAATTTTTTAAAATCTGTGGAGTGTCAAGTAGATAACAATGAAGATCCCTGACATGTTTCCCTGCGCGGTTAGATCGTGTTAGCTCGACGATCCATGGTTTTCAAAAAATGAATCACTTTATTACGAATGTAATCGTCGAGTAAAATACGTCATGGATATTTATTTTTGTCAAATTGACACCCCGTCGTAATCACTTCAGTACTCACTAGTCGTTCGCAGCTATCAGGCTAATGGAACTTTTTATTTAACCCCTTGCCATATTCCTAGTAATAATTTATTGAGTATAGATGTTATTTTGTCCCCTAAAATTGGAATAAAATTCTAATTAACCTCTCGTCATCAATATTTAAACATTCAAGTAAAATTAGGCACACAATGAGCATCAATTTTCATCCCCTTCCAAGAAATCATTGCAATCGAAGAATTTCGAATCGCAGTAAAAAGAATGGTATATCAAAGGGTTAATATAGAATCTTGCGAATCTCTTCAAAATCCGTCTATCAGAAATTTACTAAAACGACTATTATTTAATAATTCAGAACGAGATCATTTCTATTTCCTATATCACTATATCTACCTGTATTCCTAGATTTTGCTACCAAAAGAATCAAATTTTCTTTCAAATCAACACAAATGTGAATAACAATACATTATTCATGAAATCTTCGTCGCGGGTGTGACTCGTAGCGGAAGGGGTTAACGAACGCAACAGAACGTCCGCAGTCCGGCAATAATCTCGAGATAACAAAGGAAAAAGTAGTAACTCCAGGCACCCGCGGTTGCAGAGTCCGTTCGCAAGCACATGGAGCAGGAGAAAGACGGCAAAACGAAGTCGCACAAGCAGCGTTGTCACAAATGTTCCATCGCCTAAATTCCATCGACCCCCGTGCTTTAACGAAAAAAACGAACGATAACCACGCGTCGCCGTCGACGGCGGCGATATCGCGTTTGCCACATATCTGTATAGTTGTCGATCTTTTTTACGGTGCGACCTGCTACACACGAAACGCGCGCAGCGGTGTCTATTGTGTAGTCGTCGAAATAGAAACCGGAGAATCAACGAAACGAGTCGCTCGCGTCAACGAATCGCTCTCGAACCGTGTACACCCAACGATTCTACAGTCTCGAGGTTTCACGTAGATTAAAGCGAAACGGCGGAGGGGAGGAGGGGCGTTTGTAAATATTTTCGAGGAACGAGATTGCTCTCTGTCGGGTCTCCCGAAGCATTGTACGCACGTATTTCGTCTTCGCGTCGATAGGACCGGCGCGAACGCGTGCGAGAAAAAGCGAACCGTCCCGCGATGTTTTATTCTATCGGATCGAGTGTGCTGCACTCGGGAGGATCGACTCTGCTCCATCGATTCTGGGCGTAGAACGCGTAGAACACGTGCATTGAAGTCATGGGGTGTGCGGGTATCTCATAGAGGTGGGCGGGTACCCGAATATTTCGTGACTCGGGTCGGGACCATTGTGTACGGGAAAATAAGTTACGCAAGGAGTGGGGGCTGGCGACGCATGCGCGGGAGTCCCCGGCGTGGCGCTGTCGCGCGAACGTCGTAATTCTGAACTACGATCAGAAAGAGGCCTTACGTCGCGTCGCGATCGCAGCTCAGAATTATAACGATCATCCGGTAGACGCGCCGCGCCGCCTATGCGGGACTCCCGGCGCATGCGTCGACAATCTCACTCCTTGCGTAACTTATTTTCCTGTGAACGCTGGTCCCGATCCGACGCGAGACACGAAATGACGAGTTCCCGCACATCCCCAATTGGAGCACACGGGCTCAGCTTGCAGGGCTTTAGATGTGATAAAACGAGAAACCGTAGATTTATTTGGTACCGTGCGAAACGATTGCGCAATTCGAGGAAGACAATCTCTACATATCCAGGAAAAAAAGTGTACAACTCGATACAAAGCTGTAACCGAAGTATCCACTGAGAACTTTCGAGCGGACGAACGTTCCCAATAAACGCTGCAAATTGAACAATACCGACTGGCTTTATTATCGTGCCGCTGCTCGGAACAATTAGGCGATTGCCTTCTCTGCCGCGTCGTTCGTTCAACGAATTGTTCAACGAGTTATCACGAATTGCCGGCAAGAATTGAAAACAATTTAGTTCGGAGGCGAGCGAACTTCGAGTGGATTTAAGGATGTGTAGATAATTAATTATTTGTCGAGATCGCAGGCTCGCCTCAATTGTTTCGAGCAGTGCCGCATCATCACTGGACTGTGGATCTTTATGCGTTCATGGCATGCGCAGATTTTTCAAATGTAAGAAAACGTATAAATTAACAAGGTCTACTGACAAGCGACATCTACATTATTTTACGATAAATAATCTTCCGACGAAGGTAACGTTCTCTTCGATACCATGTCTTGTAAAATGACGCGTGAAAAATCTGCATGGAATTACCTATGAAGATGAGATAAAGATCCGCGGCCCGATCATCGCGCAAATAAGAAGACTGCACTTACCTCGTTCCGGTCCTGGAAGTTCACGCTGTTGGGGGACTGACGACGGCACAGGATATTCGGAAGGGTGTCGGGATTGGGTGACAGAGTCCTGAACGGCGGGTTCTATTAAAATGTGAATGTTTATTAATCCAATACGGAATATTGATTTGCTTCTATACTATAAAAGAATGCTGCTTCCACCCTCGCCATGTGTAATAATACGTACGCGTGTATAAACAAAACACCGTGAACGTAATGATCGTAAACATACTTCTAATCGACAAATGATGATTGATCTGCGGCGATGGTAGAAACGATGCCCGAGTGCCATTCAACGGCAACATCATCTTTGATTGCGATCGTACAGAACCGTGCTGTCGTGAACGATGGGACGATCGTTCTCGCGGCGAAACTCTTAACCCTTAACAAATACAATTGGACACTAAGGACGAAGGTAATCGTCGTGGCGACGAGGATACCTACACGCGTATAAATACATCGCTGTCCCGCGTATCGATTCTCATTTAAAGCTGCTCGATTTCGAACTTGGACCTTGTTGCTGCACTTTCTTTCAATCACTCGCTCCCTCTCTCCCTTTCTTCCTCTCTCTCTCTCTCTCACACACACACACACACACACACACACTCTCTCCCTCTCTTTCTCTCTTCCATGATTACATCGCGAGCAGTGCAGCTGCATCACACGTGTGTGTGTCTGGTCACACCGATACACAGGAGAACGTACTTATATGCACTCGGGGGAGGAAAAAAACAGGCGGGACACGAAACGCGCATCATCGTCTCAAGCCACGTCCCAACTTGCGAGGAACAGGCTCCTCGTGGGTCACCGGGGACCCACGCTGCANCATGTGTAATAATACGTACGCGTGTATAAACAAAACACCGTGAACGTAATGATCGTAAACATACTTCTAATCGACAAATGATGATTGATCTGCGGCGATGGTAGAAACGATGCCCGAGTGCCATTCAACGGCAACATCATCTTTGATTGCGATCGTACAGAACCGTGCTGTCGTGAACGATGGGACGATCGTTCTCGCGGCGAAACTCTTAACCCTTAACAAATACAATTGGACACTAAGGACGAAGGTAATCGTCGTGGCGACGAGGATACCTACACGCGTATAAATACATCGCTGTCCCGCGTATCGATTCTCATTTAAAGCTGCTCGATTTCGAACTTGGACCTTGTTGCTGCACTTTCTTTCAATCACTCGCTCCCTCTCTCCCTTTCTTCCTCTCTCTCTCTCTCTCACACACACACACACACACACACACACTCTCTCCCTCTCTTTCTCTCTTCCATGATTACATCGCGAGCAGTGCAGCTGCATCACACGTGTGTGTGTCTGGTCACACCGATACACAGGAGAACGTACTTATATGCACTCGGGGGAGGAAAAAAACAGGCGGGACACGAAACGCGCATCATCGTCTCAAGCCACGTCCCAACTTGCGAGGAACAGGCTCCTCGTGGGTCACCGGGGACCCACGCTGCATCCGCGGAACAGGCTCGAACGCTCTCGTTACAAAAATAAACGCGCTATTTACTAATTATCCGAACCGATGGACGATTATAAACTGCGGACGGGTCGCCGATAACCCACGCCGTATTGCCAATAAATTACATGCACCGATCGTTCGTGGAAACGCTGTCTGCATCGAGCATGCTGCCGACAAGTGCGGACGAGGCTTCGACGCCGAGTTTCATTGAGCTTCACGAAGGGATCTGGAACGCGGGCGACGTTACGACAAACGACACTGACTACGGAACACGCGAAGAGTGACAAACGGAAAGAAGACGAGAGACAGAAAACGAAAGGACACGGACCACATCTGGTTACTAAACAAGAACACCCCCTTCTCTCTTCCAAATAATCGCGGACCAGACGGTCTAATAAAGCGCGCTTTTTTGTTTTCTCTTTACCTCAAGTCCACAAAGCTCGCGGCGTCCAGTCAGAAAAACGAACAGGCACGTCTAGCAATAAAATTTCCTGCGGCAGAAATCGAAAAAAACAAACAATTAGGTTCTCGTTTCGTCGCGATCGCTGGGTTACATGGGAGGAAAACTCGAAGAACGGGGCAAAAGTAGCATAAAGTCCGCGTAGCGGCCGATCAATTTGTCGCGAGCGCAGGGGGGGTAGAAAACCGGTGGGGTCTGTCTCTGGCACTGATCAAAGGCGTTCGCCTATTTCCCTGGCGCCGGGGAAAACGGGGGAAAAACTGAAAAGCGGGACCGCGAATCGTGATCGCGCGGCGAGATACTTGCGACGACGTCCCCTTGGTTTCAGCCGCGATCCGTCTCTACCTCCGAATCATGCAAATTCGCTGGAAGCTAGCCTAAACGTCTCGGCACCGACGTTCGCGGTTGGGAAAGCACTATTTAAACGGGTCGGTCAACACAGCCTGATCGATAAGAGTACCACCGGTGGAATCGTCCAGAAGATATCCTCGAGAGTTTCCAGAGACTCTGCGGCATACTTTGAAACAATCTTGCAGTCGTGCATATACGTTTCCTATTCGATATTCGGCACCGTTCGTAAACTGCGGTTTTTCGTACGAACACCTTTTATAACGCGGCGATTGTTTTAGAAATGGACTAAACGACTAGACTCTTTTTTTTAATATTAAGGAGATCGATTTACTGTGCAATAACTTTTCATTTTGATATTACAGTAAATTTTCCCCGATTGACTCACAGTTTAGAAACGAAAATGGACAATATGGGAAGAGGAAATGCGATGATTCGAGCCTTGCGACTCGTTTTTATAGTCGACAACTATGAAAAATTAGCCGCAATGCTCAAATAATCTCAAATCAAATGATCAAATAATCTGCTCTTCCCAAATTGTCTTTGCGAATTTGTGTTTCCAAACCAATTAGGGAGAATTCATCGTAACAGCAAAGTTAATGAAAGTATTTCAGCGATTGCACAGTAAACTAAACAAAAAGAACCAGCCATTCGGTCCAGTTCGCGAAAGGTTACTGCGTTTTAAAAGGTGTTCGAATCTTTTAGCGAGACGTTTTATACCGCAGTCCGAGAAAGCTTGTCGCAAAAGTATGCGGCAGAGTTTCTCTGGGAAACCTCGTAGGTCTCTCGGACGATTCGACGGAGCACTTCTGAGAAGACAATGTCTAGAATGGCCGCAATCTCGCAACGTCGCGACGATCTTCCTTCGGTAGCCTCTCGCCGAGAAAATTGGTCCACAGTTCCGTCCCAGCCAGCTTGTGTCTTGATCTGCGCGTCCCAGAAACTCCAGCTGCTGGTCGGTAGATTTCTTCGAGGCGACCGTGAGAGGGCAGAAAGGCAGACCGGCCTTGACAAACGACGCCGATGCGATCGCTCGCGCTGTTACTCGAACCAGAAGCACGCGGGATCATGGTTCCGTTTATAGAAACTGTACAAGATTCGCGCGGAGGATTGCGTCTCTGGAGTGAAAAACGTTCTCTCTCTCTCTTACTCTCTATCTTTCTCTCTCTCTCTCTCTCTCTCTTACTCTCTATCTTTCTCTCTCTCTCTCTCTCTCT